GACAGCCAAACCAAAACAGTATCCCTAACCTTAACCAGGACCTCAGAGATGACTTTGTGCTTCTATCTTAGTGAAGTCATGTTGACATGTAAACATCAGTGTACACATTATCCTTTACATCTCACACTGCAATTCAACACCCACACACAAGAGTGGCATTCATGATGCTATGGTGGTTTTGAATATGACAGATGACGTCCATCACTGTCTCCTGTCATGGTCATGTTGGGGTCGGTTATGTTCTGTGGGGGGATGGGGTCGGGGTGAAGGACGAACCCGTCACATTCTGGTACGAAGGTGGATTAAAGGGGCAGATCCTGGAATTTTTATGACAAATAAATAATTAAGGTTATGACACCACTTCCTTTATTTCTGTAAAATGAACTTGGCGATCGTGTGTTGGATTGTTCGGACTTGGCGGAAGTGTGACAGACATTCTTCACTTCACAAACACTTCAGGCACGGTTGTGACAGTGAAACAGCCGAGCGTCATGTTTTAAAATGCAAACAAGGAGCTTCATGCGTGGAAAGTGAAGGACCGCTAAACACGGTCTCTCCCGCTCTTTGTCTTTCACGTACATTCGATCGCACACAAACAAAAAACACGAGCAGCCAGCCGGTGACACCCGACGGGTCCAGTGTTCCTCAGGGTTATTTCTGTCTTCAGGACAAAGGGTTGTACCTCACAGTCAAAGAGTGTGTGTTGGAGTTTGTTTGAGAATGTGTGTGTGTGTGTGTGTGTGTGTGTGTGTGTGTGTGTGTGTGTGTGTGTGTGTGTTTTGGCAGGATAATTAGACCTTGTGCTTTGCTCTCTGAGAGTTGTTTAACCACAGGGCTGAGCCATAATGGATCTACACTGTCACGGACACTAGACTGTCACACCACATGGACACATGCATGTACGTGCAAGCACGCACACACTCACACACCACTGAGCAGGTTTACAGATGTTTGAAAACAAACACGCACACATAATCACGCACATATTGTGTAAATGTTTAACTGAGAGAGAACGACAGAGAGGGAGGGTGGATTAAATGAGGACAAAGGAGAGCGAGTCAGAGGGAAGACGACTGAAAAACAAATGATTACTCATCATTATATCAGTGAATAAACCCATGTTCCTGAAAATGAATCACTTCAATACTGTTTTCGTGTAAAGGTTTCTCTTATCAAAGTGTTTTGCTAATTTCTCAGGCAATAAAAAACGTGTGAGCCGTTTGTGTGTGAATGTATCTCAGGTAGCGTGAGTCATTTTATAGCCTGAGGTGATGCGGCTCTGCGTCTTGGCAGAGGCCTTCAGGCGATGACACTGAATAAAGCTCTTTTGTCAACACTGGGTCTAACTGTGCTGTGATGAACAGTTGGTGATAATGTGAGAACTTGTCAGTAAGAGCCCTCTGAGCCTGGTAATAAATTGACTGTTAATACAAAACAAATCTAATGTCACAATATCATCATTCATGAGAAAGGCAAAGTCCGGAGAATATCCATATACCCAATAGTCTGCTGAAGATATTAGCACCATGGAGGTGCCAAAGTAAAGGTTAATCAAGGATCTCCACAGTTATGAGGATTCATCATGAATCTGAGGAGCACATTTCATGGCAACACCAACTGTGGTGCTGGAAGAAAAGTCAGGAAAACACCAGAGTCTGCATGATTCATCGTCTGTGGCGCAGAAGTTTTCACAGCAGCCCGTGCCGTAATAACAAAGTTCTTTCCTCTCTAAATGTGCAGGTTTTCAGAGAAGGTGGGATCGTGGGTCTACGGTCCAGGCCCAGCTGCAGCTACATAATCACCATGAAGTCACCCCAGGGCCAGATATGATTCAAGATGATTCATCCATCCTGCTGGGCCTGTTTGATGACAGCGTGAGGAACGCGGCAATGTTGAGAACTTTTACTTTTACGTTTACTATTCTGTTGGTTCAAACTGTTCTCAGGTCAGGGGTTTTGCATGCTGCACGGCAGCGAGTTGGCCTGAAGCCTGCTATGCAAAGGACATGATCGGATCAGATTGAATCATTTATATTTTGAAGCGTGAAAGAGATCAGAGGATGACGCATTTCTAACAAACAAAATCTTGTTTTCCTTCCTCCTCAGTTCAGACTGACCCTGGCTCCTGTTCTGTGATTCTTGCCCAATGCTAAAAGACAACACACCTGATCATTTGTTTGACTCCCGGCAAGAAGGTAAAATGTGAGTATTTTCACTATCCTCCTTGTATCGTAGATTACATCCAACTTCCATCCGGACGAGCATTTAACCTCCGTATCAGAAGAAATCTACACCCATAATAACCCACCTGAGACCATTCGTGTACATGGGCCGTGCCAGAATCACTGCAATTAGTTGCTCAGTTTAGAATGAGAACAAGAAACAGCAATGATGAACGAACAGGGATTCCTTTCACTTTTACTGATGACAAACTGTTACAGTCAGAGCTAACAGTGATTTCCAATCACGGCTGAACCGAGTCATCAGTTCAACACAACTAGGAAGCTAATGGTGCATCATTATTTCCAAATGTCTGCCGGTCGAGACTAAAACTGAAGCAGTGCTAGCTCCATTTCTAAAGCATGAGTGTCGTGATGTGTTTTGAAATAAAAGGTTTTAATGTGGATTCAGTCAAAATCCCTCACTTCTGCAAAGTTACCCCCCCCCCCCCTCCCCCACCCACACATTGCTACAGCCTAACGTTTATATCACAGTCATGGTTAGCACGGGACGATTGTTCAATCTCAGCAGAACAAATTACACTGAGCTTGTTCTTCCCTTGTATGTTCGTCTCAGTGTGATGACTAAGTATCTGCACTGTGGAGTCATGAGTACTCAGGCCCGAGCACTTGTTCACAGAACCACCAACACCTGGTGAGAGAACAGGGAACAAGCCTCCACGTTCCTCTTTTCTCTGCCTCCTCATTGTTCAGCAGCTTGTGCAAACACACTTTCTGGATTGTTATTACCCAGGTCACAGAGACCTCACCACCAAGACTCACACTCGTCTCTCTCTCTTTCCGTCTTCCCAGGCAGCGAGGGGATGAGTCACATCCTCAACTCATCACACTCACATATTTCCACAGCCTCCCTTTCTCCTCTACAGCTCCATTCACAGCCGTCGGGGCCAAACCACCTTCCCCCCCCTTGAGCGACTCTTGGCATGTTTTGTGACCCAGTTCACGGGATTTTCCACACAAATGAAACGATGAACATTCGTCCTGATGTCAATGAACTGAGTGATCCCTCTGACTTTTACACAGACGTCAGTGAATCGGTCACAGAGGTGCTGACGGAATATCCGATCGTGCATGAGACAGTTAAACGCAGGATTTGATCGACATCAAGACCTGAGTGATGGATGCATAACCCAGCTCCACTGGTTTGAAAGCAACATGACCGCTGCTTATAGCATAAATAATATCCCTTATGGGGTTTTGTGGGTCTTTGGTGAGGGAGTGTGTGTGTTTGGGGGGAGGAAGGAGCACATTCCTGTCTTATTTAACTGCTCAGCTTTACAGCCATTAAGCGTTTGACACCGGGGGAGAATTCAAGGCTTTTTACTGGGTCCTGTCATGCTTTTTGTTGACTTTCATTTTTTTTTTTAATCCATTTCTGTGATGAGATTAGGGTGAACTCAACCGAGCACTGAGTTTTCCCCCTCTGGCTTCCCAACGCTCCAGTCTGCTCCGTGATACAGTAAATACAACTGTGATGATGCAACCTGCAGAAATGTTGCCAGGGAAACAGAAGCCAGGAGGAGACGAGCTCCAACTACAGCGATGCAACTTTGCACAACACCCGCTCCCACTTAAAAGTGGTTTAACTGCAGCCTTCGCAGGATTCATATTCCCTGGGATAATGTGATTATGTGTTCAGTCAAGCATCAGTCAGACTGATGTAACTGTCACTTCATGTCATAACCGGAGCTGATTGACTAAGCTGGGTAAACTCACTCCGTCACATGTCATCCTTTCTAAACAAAATTCAAGAAAATTTAAATTTAGAAAAAATAAAGCTCATTAGTTTTGAGTGACAGTAAAATGCTCCCAAAGCTGCTTTCACACATGAACACTGGGAAACGTTCACACGAGACGAGCGCAGCAGAAGCTTGTCCGAGTTTGTCGCGTGTTAGAAACGCCATCGACACGCTGGCATCTTCCTGCAGAAATCACTCTGTGCGTCTTTGAGGTCTAACAAACATTTTACTCATAAAACATTATCGACATTACACAACTGGTCATGTCGCAAAAACTAAATTTGAGACGCCCTTGGAAAAACATTGCTTCATAGCGCTACTACTGCTCCGATCCCAAACTGTGTCTCTGCTGGCGCCTCGATCTTTTGATTGGTGCGAGTCGTTAAAGTGTAAAATGATTTGCATTTCCTGCCTAATTAATTTAACCCAGTAACAACACATAACTCTCTTGTGCCAATAAAGAGCCCAGCAGTCACAAACACCTCCACATCACTTCAGTTCCTCAGTCTGAGAGCCAAGAAGTAAATCAGCTAAATTACAGCTGCTGAGGCAAAACAAACAGGCTCCACTTTTATAATGAGAGCAGTCAATGAGCCGCTGTGGGTCTCACCACATTTAAACACCCAATTTGTACCACTCCGGTTTGTTTTAGTTTCTTCCCCTGATGCTGGTAAGTAACCAAGGGCTTTGTAGAGCAGAACAAAGCTGCTTTTCCCTCGTCTGGGCTCAACAAGTCCATCTCCTGCTGTCGAGGGGCTCTTTCTTGTTTCACATGTCTGTTTTCTTTCTATTTTCACTGCAGCTGTTACTGTGGTATCTGGATTTTCTGCTAGTTTACTTTCTGATCAGAAGTCAACTCGTTTTGGAAATAACCATCTGATCATAGGCTCCAATCGCCCAGGACAGAGATTAACTGACTTTTAACTGACTTTTTCTGACTTGACCTGCAGTGGATCAATAAACCCTGGTCAATCAATAGACACCCACACACACACACACACACCCACAGTGTGATCACTGACCCTTAACAGGAGGAGTCTGTTAAAATCATCTCCAATTCGTCGGAGCTCCTGTCCGACTGCCTCCGCCTGCATGTCCTCTGCTGCGTTTCGGTGCCGTCTGCTAGAGGGGCTGCGAGAGCTTTCTGAAACAGAGGAGAGAACAACATGCTGCTGATACGGTCACAAACACTTCACATTAAACAACTGGTTGGATTATTTAATAACGCTGAACACCAACATGTTTGAAATATTACTTGTAACATGAACAGAAACAAGAGTGGGACAAGTCTCAGTGGATGTAAACACTGCTGAGACTGTAACCTAAATCTTAAACTTAAACCACCTTATCAAGGGAAACAATCAGCAGAGTGTGATTCAGAAAGTGGTTCACGGTATCAAAGCAGAGACTTTGTTTTTAGTTTGAGCCCAGTTGAGTTTATTTGATGTTAAAAAAGATGCACAGTCACGATGACAAGATAAAACCCACAGAGGAGATGTGACTCAGAGCAGGTGAGATTAAAAACAACGAAACAGATTTTTTTTTAGTACAGTTGGTTGTGAATTCAGACTTAAATATATAAGAGAACATGGAGCAGAACATTAGAAAAATAAGTTGGAATCAGTCACAGTGTTTCATACGCACGTGTCTCAATGGCATCATCAGAAAAATGGTGAGAAATATCAGTCTGCCAGCTGAGCAATCATACAGAATATGTGTGTGTTTTCGTGGTTAATCTGTTATAGTCTCAGCTTGACATATGAAAGGTTCTGACCTGTTACCGGTCTCCGCTTATGACTCACACACGCAGTTATGAAACTTACACTTAATATTTCTAACATCCTCCAACAATGAAGATGCTGATACAGCAAAGAGGCTGAGTCCCAATCAATGGAACGCGCTGCAGACCACACAGATAAAACCCAAAGAGGGAGAGATGGACATGACAGTGGAGTATAATCCAGAACTACACGCTGGTAATCCATCAATTAAAAACTGTGTGACTTAAATTCAGAGGTTAGTGTTTAAAGGCAGGTTGGAGCAGACTAAGCCGCCAGGTGACAGTGAAGCTGTTTGAATAAGTCATCCAACTCGCTTCAGGGCACAAATGTTTACAGAGAGAAGGATGAGGCTGAAGAAAAGGTTCAGGTTTATGCTCAAATTCAATCATTTCCAGACACAAATATGTAGAAATACTCACAAATATTTGTGTTTCGACACAAATACAGAATGCCTGTCAGGTTCGAGTCGGTCTCAGATAATTGTCTCTCTTTTCCAACAGAAAACTGCAGCTTGCGAAAGGCAGAACTTAATCTGAAGAGTCTGAATTTACCCACAATGCATTATGAATTAGACATACTTAAGACAGTAAATCATTAGTCAGCCTGGTGCAGCCGATTAACTTGTTAGATCGAAGCCTCTGGCAAAATCTGTCTCACTGCAGCCGGCCCCTGAGGTTGTGTTATAATTAAACCCTGTGAATGAAAATCAGCAGAAGACAAAGTGTGAGGAGGAGGAGGAGGAGGAGGAGGAGGAAGAAGAGGAGGAGGACGTGTTGTGACCGGAGCTGTGATCACAGAGATCACGGAGACGTCACAGCAACACCAACGACACGACGATGAACTGATCCTCCTCAAGCTCCGGCTCTTTATCATCGTCTCGAACACAAAGCGACCAGCAGTGTTGATAACTGAGACCGTGTTTGTATTGAGGACAATCGTGTACGATATTTTGTGTCTCTGTGTGTTTATCTCCTCTCTGTCCTATCTGATGGACGGAGTGGACTGAATGAGAAGCCAAACGTTTCTGTCTGCGTTGCACAAAAGAGCAGGAGGCCTATTTTGACTGCCACACACACACACACACAGGCCTTTTTTGACTGCTGTGCTTAATGAATAAGACGCACACGCCTGCTGGTTTGTTTTGACTGTTATCTCGTCTGTCTGGCTGCAATAGAGAAGAATAAGTGAAGCTAATCACTGCTGATGCAAAACTAAAAGAATACAAATATCTCAGGATGAAAAGAGGAGTCGTAGAAGAAAGAAGACGAGATTCAAGAGCTCTCTGGATAAAGGCCGATGTGATCCGGAATAGTCCGAATGAGTCCAAAAACCACTTCTGTTTAAAGAATCTGAGAAAAACAAATAAGTAAAATCTTATCAGGATGATAAATGCTTCTGAACAGTGAGATGTTTTTTCACTTCGAGGGGATTCACTCTGTTATTGTTTGTTTTGCCAAATCTCAAACCTCTCGGCTCCGTTTGGTTTGAAACCAGGCAACAGCGAAGACAACTACAGCCAAGAGCCTCACAACTACAGGCAGGAGTCTATTTTTCTTTTAACATGTGCTCATATAAACAAGTTCACTGCAGCTCTATTTTGAATCCCTGCTGCTGGAGGTGACAGACTTGCGTGTCTTGCTTTGTATCTAAATAAACAGCGGAAACAAAAACAGGGTCGAGGCTGAGAGAAGTGATGAGTGTTCCACAAACACTTGGGTGGTTCTATCAAGAGAAACACAAAGCTACTAAACTCCGTGTCATATTTTGTTCTGAACATTAACGCTGAGGAAAAAAACTAATCGAGTTAAGCCGCGTTTGAAATGTGATGTTGGTTTAACGAGAATAAAACCTGATGTCATGAAATAAGCTAAGCTCCAAAAATGGTAAGTGGACTTTCATCACTTCAACTTTTTCACTGCTTCAACACTTCAACTTGTTAAAGGGGAAGTGAACCTATTTTACACTTCACAGTCTGTTTACGGATCATAAACGGCTTTGAGACACGCAGGGACCTTGAAATTATCCACATGAGCTGATGTGGAAGAAGAGGAAGAAGAAGTTGATCCAGCAGATGACTGCAAATGCACCTTGGCTGCCACCCACCAATAAACCGAACAAAGAAGACGACTTTACCCACACGTCATGTCTGAAAACGGCTTTAGTTTAAGTCACTAAATCAGCATGTGACTTACTCACCGGAAACTAGATGAAAGCAGAGTATAGTGGAAAAACTAAGTCTTCCCTAATGAGTGTTCATCTTCTGCATGTCACCGTTAACTTTCACCACCATCGCCGCCGCCCAAATCTTTGACAGAGGAAGCCTCAGGGAGCTTGTGCTTGGCTACTGCACACCCGCACACCCACACACCAGCAGCAGTGACAGCAGCAGCTACACAGTGAAAACAGTCAGAGCAGCTTGTACAGGCTGATGCAGAACAGTAACTCTCACACACAACTACAGATATTATGGAGTGTGTATTGTGTTTTTAGACGCCAACACTTCAGATTGCAGCTTTACAACCCTCCTTTATCTGATTGTGGAGGGTACAAATTGGTTTATAGCATTGTTGTTATGTTTAAGCAAACTTGATGTCAATGACACTGGAGCGACTGGAGACTAACTTAACCTCGATAGAAAGAAAAGTGCTGCACAAGTTGTGAAGCCTGCTTTTGTTTTTGTTAGGATTTGTATTTTTCCACTTCAAACTTATCAGTGAACTTTGTAATGAGACACGTTGATGTTCCATATGTGTGTTATCGGAGGTTAGTCATCAGTTAATCATCAAGGTGCCTGTGCTCACCATGCAGCTGCGTCCCCGGTCCTCCTCCGTGCGCCTCAGCCATGCGCTGCAAGGCGTGTTTCATCACCTGGCTGCCGAGGCTCGGAGTCTGAGTCGCTTTGTCAGCCGTCAGCGGCAGCGAGTCGCCGTCGAAGGAGAAATATCCACTGGATCTGCGGCGGGGGAAGACGAATATAGATCTCTTCTGAAACACGCCGAGGCTGTCCACGGAGGATCTGCTTCTGCACCGAGCCGGCGACACCGGCTCTCCTCCTCCGACGGAGCCGGTATCGCTGCTGTTGTTGTTCGAACGGGAGGTTTGCTCTGATGCTTCGGCGGCACCGACTGGTGGTAGATCTCCTCCGCTCTCCTCTGTTGTCGTTACTGCGGTCGAGCCATCGGACCGGTTTGGTGGTCTGTTGGATGAACAGAGCGGAGCCGTGAGCCTGGGCTTTCATCACCCTGCGCAAACAGCCTACAGCCCCGCGTCTCTGTTGCATGTGGAGCTGCAGCGGAACGTGCGGCGGCGCAGTGCCCGGCGCGTAAAGCACTGGACCTCGGAAGATTTCACGTTTACACTCTGCTCATTCGCAGGTACGCCCTTTACGCACGGGATCTCCATGCCAAAAATAAACCGTGGACAATAGGTTTCTTTTAAAGAAGCTTAACCATACTCTATCTCAGCTGATAACGCACAGACGCGCTTGTGCCTATCAGCTTTTGGCGAGTGTGTAGTGAGTGTTTGATAAGTCAACGTGCAGTGGACGTGTTCCTGTTCAGGCGGTAGCTGCAGGCTTCCTGTCCAAACTGACCGCCCAGTGCGTCTCCTTTGTTTGACAGAAGTTGTTGATTGCAGCAGATTTGACTTGCAGGGAGAAGAGTAACAGGGCATGAAGGAAGCGTCTGGACTAACTTCCACTGCGTCACTAAGAGTCTGACAGAGTCACCATTCTGGAAATGTCATTTTCAATTAAATCTACCCCCCAAAAAAAAAAAATTCAGTTGTCATGTCTCTTTTGTTAAAAAACACCGATTCACCTCAGGGAACAGTGTATTTTACACATTTGGCATTTCACAATCTCGAATCTAAACGTTACAATCAACAAAGGGGACTTTAAAATTTCAATATTTAGTCGCTGCGCTTCCTGTTTGTCCAGACTAAACGACAGCTTCCTTCCCGCTGACACTGACCTACTTCTGTGCCAAAGTGACCTAAAACGAGGCTGTAATTTAAACACAAAGTCTTCACGTCACCTACCGTCAAACTTTCGCACCTATGGCATTAATTGGGTGTTTTTACGCACGGGTTAACAGCACTCTAACTGGACCCTGAAGACTTTTCCTCCTGCCCCCGGAGAAAGTGTAACCCTTCCCCGCGAGTTTCGGTGCGAATATCCGAGAGCAACGAGGAGCAGCGCGTCGGGGCGGGACGTGGAAGAAGTGGCACTGAAACGTGCCGGCGATCACATCACCGAGAGGGAAGAGCAGACGGAAGGGAAGCAGCGGACATCTACCGGCGCCAGAAAACTACCAAACAATACATTTAATCAGGTGTTTCATCTTCTGTATTTAGATGAAGTGGTAGCTGGAGTTTTTGTCTCCGTGGGCGATGACAGAGGAGTCTAATCTCAACAGGAAATAAATTGTTCACACGATAAAGTTTCATGTCACCATTAAACCAAACATGTTAAACGGACAGTGTGTGAGTGTCCTGCTATTATCATTTGCCAACTTCTTCTTCAAAATAACCCAGAAGAGCGCGCCCGCCACCCGCAGGACACTGCCACCGTCTCCTTAACTTCTAATACAACAGTTAAGAAAAATGAGCTCCTCGTCCATTCCGCTAATTGTCCATTAAAATAAGTAATAACACCAAAGCAGCGGCGGGTCCTGTCGTCTGGATGGGTCTCGCTCCTATCTCCTAATGGAGAGGTGAACTTTAAGGCAAGTGAACTCTGTGACCTCGATCAACAAGAGAAGAAAAATGTGTTTTTGAAAGAGTAAGAAAATGTGGTTTTTTCTATTTGGAGGAAAACTTATCATCGTGTCGTCCAAAAAGTTTTGTAAAAACTTTGCCCAGCTAATAAACCACATTCTCTCTCTCTCTCTCTCTCTCTCTCCC